TAGAACGATGAAATATCAAATAATATTGACTAAGATATGTTGCATATTGTTTTTTTTTAACACAATATAGATATAAAATAACTATTTATTATAAGAGAAATAGAAATTATTTATTATAAAAATTATATATAATTATATATAAAATAATTATATATAATTTGTTCTGTATAAAGATATAGATTAAATTAATTTTAGAGAAATTAAATATTATATATAAAACTATTCAGTTTTTCATCAAAATTATTAACAAGATCATTAAAAGATTTATTTTTTTCTATTTATTATATATTAATCATTTTTCATAATATTAAAAATTATCATCTTTTCTCCAATGACTTGAATGAGTTAATTTATTTTAAGATTATAAATTAATTTACTAAATATTATGGCAAATATATAAATATGAATTATTGATTCAATAAATAAAACAAAAAGATTTATTTTTATTAATTCTTATATGTAAATTTTAAATTTTTCATAATAGATGTTTTATTATTTGCTACAGATAAAGATGGAAAATGTGAATTACTAATTATTTTAGAATTCTGCTTCTAATGTTTTTGATATTAAATAATATTAAATAAGAAAGAAAGAAGAGTAAAATGGTTGTGAAGATCATTAATAAGAAGCTAATATTAAATATAGTATTAGCTAGGATAAAAAATATGACTAATTTTATTTCATAATTTATTTTGGATACATAGGATAATAAGAATATAGAATACTAATAGAAATATTAGACAAGATATATATAGAATGTAAAGATTGAAAAAAAAAAATAGATGAATTAACATTATTTTATAATTAAGTTTCTTTCTATAACTTTCAAATAGGATAATGGAATATAAAATAGATTCTTTAATGAGAAAAGCAAACATTAAAAAAGGAGATATATATCTCATTAATGTTTATTTGCTTTAAAATATTGCAATTAAGTTTGAAAAAATTATATTTTTTAATTAATATTATTTATTTATAATTTATTTCACTATTAAATATATTTTTGCATGTGTAAATATAATTCTGTAATAATTCTCATAGTGAATTTAAGTTAAAAATATTAAATATTTAAATATTTAAATATTAAAATTCTTAATATATAATTTTTTTCATTTTCATTAAAAAATTTTTTTTTTCATAATCTTTTTATAATTAATCTTTTTTTCATAATTTTTTTTATTTTGATTTATTTTATTGATTTTTATTTGAGAAGTTAAATTAAAGAATTTTAAAATTAATTTACATTATATAGTTCTATATAAATGCCTGACAAAAGTATGGCGCACGTGCATAAGAAATCAGCTGTTCAATGTTCGTAGCACCGTCTGGTGGTGATGCTATGAACATTGAATGAAAAAAGACGAAATACGTTTGGTGTTACGATTTTATCGTGTGATTGGGTGATTTTCTCAAATCGTGTAATTGACGCAATGTGATCTACGATTTAGTCGAGAATCATGTTTCTAAATTATATCTGTGTGATCCATGTTATTGAGAAACAGAATTCGGCTTAGAAGTTATCGCGTTCTCTCAGGTGAGGTTAGAATACTCTCGATAAAAAGCTATTCATTATTTCCGAATAACCGAAGATCGCTTTGAAAAGATTTACTTTAAAAAAAAAAAAAAATTGTAGTTTTTTTATTTGATGTGCATTTATATTGAATTTGATAATTAAGAATACGTATTTACTTTCTTCATGCATTTAATGAGATTTAAATAGAAATGTTTTTATTTTTCTTTTATCACATTATTTATAATAAAACAGATTTTTGTTATATATCATTATTTAAAAATGTGTACTCTTTTTGAAAAATTAATTTTTTTATTTCAAATTTAGTTTTATCGATATATTTTTGTAATTTTTTTTTTTAGATTGAATAACTACATTTTTCAATCATACATGACGACGGATATCCGAGAAAATCTATCTTTTGTTTAATTGGTAAGTTTAATAAATTAAAATTATTTAATATTTATAACGTATAATATTTATAACGTGTATAGTACTAATGAGTGTAATATAATATTTCATGTTATTACTGTCTTTTTTTTTATTTAAAATTAATATGCGAAATTATTGATATCATGTGAATATCAGTGATTGATGCTTTTAATTTGTATAATTTTTTTTTAAATAATTTTTTTTATAAGAAATTGATGAAATCGTATATTGTTTTAAATAAAAATATTTAAATTGAAGGAAAAATTTGTTATGCATATTATAAAAATCGTAATAACATGAAAAAAATTACTGATAGCTAATCATTTAAATTATTAGACAAAAATTTGGTAAAGTTATAATTTTATAGCAATTTTATTTCTTAAATAAATTAATAATATATAGAAATTGAAGTTAAGTGAAATAATTTATTTTTTATTTCGACATTTCTTATATAATCTTAAAAAGAATATAAAGATTAAATTCATTAAAAAAAATATATTATATTAAATAATGAATGAAAATTTATATGAATTATAATACTTATATATGAAATTTAAATTTATGGGAGCTTTGTTTCAAATATTTTTAATTTATCTATTTATTTCGAAAAAAATAATAAATTTTATTATTTTTCATTTTATATAATAAATCATATTTATACTCACAAATAATTAATCTTTTTTTGGATATATCGACAAATCTAGTATTCAATTTTTTCTAAAAAATCCCATAAATTAATCCTATAGATTAATCATAGAAAACACAAAATCAAGAATATATATAATGTCCTTGTATTGTACATTTATGTTCATGAAACAACGAAATCGTTGGCACAAAAGCAGACTTAATGGAAACACCCATTACTTATTTCCAATGAGGAGATTAGGTTTCTTATTAGCAAGTGGAATCGAATTAGCTTGCTTTCTTCTATATACATATACATAACCGAACATAATACGTCTCGGCAATGAAATGATACTTTCATTATTTGAAATAGACGCCGTCGTAAATATATGAGTGGCAGGTACTAAGTAATTAGTGTGTTAAATGCTTTTTAACTTGTGTTATTAAACAAAATGAACGCATGGCTACCAGATCCACGAATGTGGTTGACATTCGAGGCAGATTCTAGCTGGGTAAATAATTTTTGAAATTCATTTTCAAAACGTTATTGGGCGATAAAATAACTAAAATAATATTAAATTAACATTACGTACGTAAATTATTGAACATAAACTTGGATAGTATATTTATAAAATATAACTTACTATTAAAGTAAAATTCTTCTGTTTTTATAATAGAATGATTGTGCATCATCTCTAAAAATTTTTATATTTATATAAATAAATAAATATAATAAATAATAATATATATATAAAATAATATATAAATATATATTTATATATTTATATAATTACATGTAAACGATAATTTTTTACGTGTAAAATAAAAAACGAAAAATATTGAATTGAAAAAAAATGATAAATAATTTGTATCCATTTATATGTTTATATTATTTAATTCAGATTTATAAAATAGAATTGTCGATTTGATACAAAATATTACATTTCAATGAATTATTAAATTAAATATAACCTAATTTAATTTTTTTATTTAACAGCTTAAAAAGAATGATAACTGATTAATTATTATTACTTAAAATATTTTATGTTCGTTTGTAAAATTTGCACGAATATCATTAATATTTGGAAGTTTCTTAGAAAAAATAGTTCAGACTACATACATCATTGATTCATGGATCGATCTTTTGTGTTTTATATTTTGTCAATTCATAAAATCTCGAAGAATGCGAAAGTGGAATCGTACTTGGCATCGAATATCGTAATATATACAATTTTGATTCATCTGTTTTTATCTGAAAATTCTCTCTGTTCCATTTAGTATTTATATTTATGTATTGAAACGATGACCAAGTAAATGATATGATTTGTTATCGTCAGTGTGACCGAGATTCGCATTAAATTTGTAAAGATCTATCATAATCTTGTTCATTTTTTCGATTTGATAAATCACTGAAATATATTAAATGCAAATAAATGACAATGTGAATTAAATAATAAATGATTTAATAAAAAGATAATATAATAAATAAATAATAAGTTTTGAATATAAGTTAATTAAAAATTTATTAGGTTAGGAATACATTTTAATGACTTTAAAATATGAGAAATTTTAGTTAATATAGATATGTATCTATATAAATAATATATAAATATAATTTTTTGAATTATATTAAACTTTTTTTACTTTACTTTAATTTCTTTTTATTTTTTAACTTTCGCAGTTTAAAATGAATATAAATTTTTTATAATTCTTGAATGAAGAAAATAATTTGAAATGTGAAATGTAAAAAATATTAAGTATTAAATATTAAAAAGAATTTATATTGAAAAGAAAAATTCTGAGAATATTAAACTTTTTGCAGCATCTTATGAAATATCGAATATTTTTAAAAAAGGTATTTCAATTTTTATGAAAAAAATTTTAATTACATAAGTTATACAAATAATTAAAAAACATGTATACATCGAAAAAAACTTTTTATTTAAGTTTTTGATGTTAAATTACTACAAAAATGTGTGCAAAAGAAATAATTTATGGAAACATGTCAAATTGTGATATATTAGAAATAAAGATTTATAGAAATCATTTAAAAAAATAAAAATTAATGCCTAATGGAATAAAAAATTCTGAAAGCATCTTTGAATTGATAAATAAAGATTTACAGATAGTTATTTCATAAGATAAATTTTGTTTTTAAGTATCGTTATCTTTATCTTTTTTTTTCATTGATAAAGCACAAACTTGGAAAAATGTAATATTCTATTATGGAAAAATTTTCTTAACAATTAAATGTTCTTCTGATATTTTTATATTTATATTTTATATTTATATTTTATTATTTTCTATGATGTATATAATAATGTATTTTGATTATATCAAAAATTACAAATTTCTATTTTCATTATAAAAAAAATCTGACTATTAAAAAAAATCGAAAATTAAAACTTTTAGATTATGTTTAATTAGATGTATCATTTAGTAATTTGAAAAATTTTATTCGTTTCTACAATTCTACAATTTTTAAATATTTTATTTTTATTTTTTTAAAATAATATTAATAAATATTAGTTATTAATAATTCACGAAAAGATAACTCAGATAAGATATTAAAAGATAATTCAATATTTCTTTTTCCATAGATTCAAAAGCATTTTTTCTCTATTTCTATTTTTCTAATGTTCTTTTTATTTTCTATTATCATTAAGAAATAAATAGAGCGACTCTATTGAA